GTGACATGTTCGTACGAACCCTTTGTACGAACAAAAGTAAGAGAAATTTAGGATAAGAATACGAACATGTTCTTGCATGAGGCCCAATATTTTGCTGCAGGTTTGTGAAATGGTAAACATCAAAGGAGGAGTGAATAATTTCTTACGGTCCTAATAATGAATCTTCTTGAAAGCTGAACCCTCTCACATTGTTTCAAGTGTACTCAGTGTAGCAATAAATAAAACGAAGACAGCATCACGAGTTCTGGGAAAGTCATTCAGCAAGAGAGCAGTATTATTAGGTCAAGAGATCATTACTTGAATACATGGTGGGAAGGAAAATAAGTCTTAGAAAATGTGTTGTGAGAGGATATGGGAGGAGCAGAGGGATGGCTGATGGTCAGGAAAATGAAAGGGGAGAAGGACAGGTGACACTTCGGGTCCTGATGTCCGTCCCCGTGGGGGTGGGGGGGTGGAAACAGACTTTCAGGTTCAGACTTAAGACCCTGTTGCTGCTGGAAACAGTGTAATAACACACGGGACGCGCCTCCTCCCATCGGTCTCTCGCTCCGAGTCAGCAGAGCCATTACTCCAGCCGTGTAGTCCTGCTGAGGGGCACAAACTGAGCCCCGACTCTACACGAGTGTCAGGGAAGCTTAAGCTGTTTCTATCCATCATCCCACCAGAACCAGAGGCGGAAACAGAGACGAGAGAAAAGCAGCGAAGGAAAGAGAGGCAGACTTAATGTGGGACTAATTATGTCTGTTTTAACCTTTTCAGGTGCGGTTCTGCATGTTTCTCGTTACCTGCAGGAGCGTGGGGTCCTCTGTAAGGTTGTCCCCCGTAACCTCCATGTGCACCACTGGGTCCAGGCCCATACTGCCCACCGTGACCTGGGGCTCCATAACCACCATAGGGACTTCCTGCTGAACCTGCACCACCTCCGTACGGTGCTGTTTGGGGAGAACCATAAAAACTCCCACCTCCAGCGTATGGATTACGTGCTGGTGGGGCGCCTCCTCCTGGATACCCCTGCTGCAATAAACAAGGAATAAAAGAAGCTTGTTCAAGTAGTAAATAAATTAATGAAGGAGCTATACATATTATACTATACAAATGTCCTTTTCTAAAATATGTTTTATGTACCATACCATTTAAAGCACACTTAATGTACTGAATAAAGAAAAAGATTAAACTTAGAACTATATCTTTAACAATCATTTCTTATGCCTTGATTATAAGAACAAAAATTAACAAACAAACTTTCAATTACACTCAATTTAAGTAACATCAGACTACAAAATAATTCCAAATTATTTATTTTAGGTAGAGAAAAAGAATTAATGTGTAATTCCAGCCTTTATAACATTAATAGTTTAGGATTATCTGCTGCATACAATTTAGAGTAATTAAAAATTATTAAAATAAAACATAGCTTTAGTAATAAAAGAAGCAATCATCTCAACATACAAATGAAGTAGAGGAACTTTGCGGCTTCATCCTATAAGCTACAGTACTGAGAATGTTTAAATACGAAAAATAAACTTTTCTGAAGTTTCCGGTGTTGCATCGAAATCCGTTCCCCTCCCTGTGTTAGGTCTTCAAGGTTTGACCACTCTCCTGGGTGCGTTTTATCAGATAAAATTTACACATTTTGGTATAGAAGAATACAAAAATCAGGATACGTACAGTATGAGGAATCGGTTAAAGAGAAATGGAAACGAAACTTGTGCAGGAACAGATTTCATCGGGGGAACCCATTTCGACGCCACACCCCGGCTAACCAACTTTGCTAAAGTTACGTTTAACCCAGAAACGTTTGCGTTTATTTTGTTTTCTACACCAAAAAAATGCTTTTCAAGACTGCCATTTAAAACCAACAATGACCTACAAATGTACTCATTATCAAAGGCAGAACATTTCTAACTAAAATCGGCAACTTAAAGAAGCTACTCTGCTAGCCACAGCAAAGTAAACTAAAGGCTAATGTGCTACTTGCGTTCCTTTAATTTAGTTCTGTCACACAAATGTAATAAACACACACGCACACCAATTAAACTAATACATGTCTGGATAACTGGCACAGATAAAACAAGAAAAAGAAGTTTTCATACCTGACCGTAGTGGAAACTCATGATTTGTTGGACACTTCTATCAGCAAGCAAGGCTTCCGTAAACTGGACGCTTTTTCTCAGTTGTTATTGGTGCAATTTCCTGTCAGTCAAATCCGTACACGTAAACTCGGCTTGTGATTGGACAGAAATCTGGAAAAACGATGACGACTGAACAATAACACACCCATTCCTGTTGTGAAGTAAAACAATGTTTCCCTTGTGAGTCACTCGATTTCTGTCATTGTGATGAATACAGGGCTTATTCACAGTTTTCTTCATTCTCAAGGCAAACACATTTTAATATTGAGAAATAGTATAGACTGTGTCAGAAAAAGACAGTGTTATTGTTGTAAAATTTGTTTTATTGGTTATTACAATAAATAAAAAACTTGTAAAAAAATAGATTATCTACAATGCTTCTTCATCCCCTTAAACAACCCATATGTACTGAAAGTTTATAAAAGCAACTTTTTAGCTACAATTTTACATGGAATTTGCACTTTATCATGTTCAGTAATCAACTAATGTAAGAGAACCATTTATGTAACAACAAAGACCTTACTGCTTAATTTATAAGTAACTAAATGCTCTGCTTTATGATTTTCTTTTATTAGTGGTCAATGCTAATGTTTTGTAAGATGATTTATTTTTATTTTTTCAACACTTTTACGTCACATCTTTCAGCCACTCACTTTTATATTTGATCAACTAAATATGAAACTTTGCAATAGTCAGTAACACATAATAGTGTCAACATGCATGCTTGCAAAACACTTCATTCACACTCACACAAAAAATCCGAAGCTTGTAAATCCCACGGTAACTCTCCAGTTTTAGAAGAGCATTTGAGTGCAAGAGATTTGACTGAAAGTTGTGAGCTCCCTCTGAAACAGAAGAATATTTACAAATTCCCAGAGCTGGGGGGACCATCCTGTGATCTTCTTGCTGATAGTCAACAGCTCCAACCACTGCACCATTATGATATATTTTTAATAGGCATCTCTTCAGCTCTGAGGTTATTAAGGTTCTGAACTGACGCTGTGGGGTCCACTCTGACTGAGGTTTTGGGCCTGAACAATGACCTCGGATGTGACAGCGGCACCATTTCATGAGTCTCGGCGAACAGCTTCCTGCTTTGCTCATTTCTCCTCCTAATGAGCTTCTGGATGCGTTTGAAGATGAGGTAAAGCATCTCGCAGATACACATTAGGATGCAGAATGCAGAGGAGACCACCATGAACAGCGTGAAGACCTTTTTCTCTGTTGGACGGGCTATGTAGCAGTCCACCGTGTTCGGGCAGGGGGGCAGGGAGCACTTGGTCAGGCGGGGCATGTCGTAGCCCTCGTAGATATGGTGCAAGATGTAGAGGAAGCCGGCATCAAAGCCTGCCTTGAAAACCAGGCTTGCCTATGAGAGAAGACAATGTTGGATTGACTGTTACTTTAGCTAATGTTAAACCTCTTTACTTTTTCATGACACCGTTTGTTTAGTTTGTTTTCTCAACCAAACAACATCCGTGTAACTAAAATACGTATCCTGAGCATAGATAGACTGTCCTAGTGGGACTATCAAAAGTATCAGTCCTATCACCTTCAGTTCACCTAAAGTTTGATGATTTCATTCAAATTCAGTTTCTTACCAAGTACGTCCACCACAGTCCTCCACGTTTCCTCCCAGGGTGTAAGTACAGATGTTTCCCTTCATGGGAGGTGGTGTACTCCAAGTCCTTTTTCTCCCGGTACTTGACGTGGCCCACGACCATGAGCGACGGGCACGTGACGAAGATGAGCTGCAGGGCCCACAGACGGACGTGGGAGATGGGGAAGATGTGGTTGAAGCACACGTTGTTGCAGCCCGGCTGGATGGTGTTGCAGACAAAGTCTTTGGTGTCTTCACCCCACACGCGCTGAGCCGCCACCAAGAACACCATCACCCGGAAGATAAAAACCACGGAGAGCCAGACTCGTCCAAACGCGGTGGAGTACTTGTTGACTCCACTGAGGAGCACCTGCAGAGCACCCCAGTTCATGACTGCTGTCTAGGAAGCGGAGGAGTAGAAGGGGAAAGGGAAGGAGGAGCTCGTCAGGAGACCAGCTGAGGTGACAGTCTTGATGATGTGAACCTGAGCGATAAAAAGGAACAACGACATTGTAAGTATACTGGAAGAGTTATAGTTCATGCAGGTGAACACCAAAATTTACCAAGTAAAAGTAGTTTTGAACAACCTATGAAAATGACTTTATTATTTTTTTTAAATCAAGAAATCTACAGGACGTTGATTGACTGATTATGGGTTTTAAATGAGGGGATAAGAACCAATTAAACTGATTCCAAAAAGGAATCCAGACTCGTCCAATTTGACCTACGTTGACGGGTCAGGCTATTATCGTCTGCTACTGAATAGTAGGCAAAATGTTTTTGCCTGTGTCTGTTTAGATTTTTTTTTTGTGTTAGCAAAGTAAGTCATGAACCAGTGGAAGTATTCTAGTGAAATGCCAGGAAAATAAACACTATAAAAAAAAAACCCCACCACAGCCAGTTGAATTATGGCTACAGTGCAATTTTACTTTTTCCAGAATTCTGAATTTTTTCCTCAGAACTGTGAAAAAAATTCTGACTTCTTAGATTAAAGTCAGAATTCTGACTTCCTCGGAAGGAAGGGTGGTCTGGGCCTGAATGCAACCTAATGTGCATGTTTTTGGTCTGGAGAAAACCCCCACAAGCACAATGTGAACATGCACACTCCACAAAGAAAGATCCAAGGGCCGAACTGGAGACCATCTGTCTGTGAAGTATCTTCAACCCATATTCAGAGCACTAACAGATCTGGCATTATTGTATGAGATCAGGCTGAGCATTTTTAAGATTTCCCCAAAATACCAACAACTCCGTTCTCAAGATCTTAGTCTAAAACTCTGGCATGAAAGAGTGAAATGCATTCTTTCATTCCTTTTGCCCAAGGCTGTGTTGCTGGGTGTTGCTGTGATTATTACACACCTCGGCTTTTACTCATCAGTCCACGTCTTGGAAATAAACTGAAAGTTGTGAACGATTCCTATGATTTCAGGCTACAGTGCCAATTAAACAATTCTCCGCTTTGACAATGAAAAAACACCAGGAAAGTCAAAATGCTTTAGTCCATGGCACAATAAGATGTCAAGAAGAGGCTTCTTTCTTATCCAAAACTGTGTTTTGTTTTGAACTCATTACTAAATGTGTTTGAACATATCCACAATCTTGTTTCGCGAGTTCAGGCAAACAAAAGGCAGCAACTGTTATCAGCACACTCACTAACACACCCTGAAATCCTCAAATATTTTTTTCTTCTGCTCGCTTCTTTGCGCCCACCTTTTATTTACTTAAATGAGAGATTGCCTTTTCACATGCAGCTCCTTTGAAAAATATCTAAAAGGGATCAGAGCTACGGTGGGAAAAGAAAACATCAGAGCAGCATCTTTAGGTACAACCTGATTGCTTGGTGAGCTTCCATCTTTCACACCACAAACAGCTAGTTTATTACCGAGCCTAAACAGAAATCAATTTTAACTGATTCAGTAAAGACCCTCGAAACACATTGAACACATTGCACTATTATTTTAACTGCACGCTACATGACAAGTTAACGTAAAACAAGTGGAGCTTTTTTTGTTTGTTTTTTCACAAGTTGCTTTATTATAAATGCTGGTAAAGTATTTAATCTCACCAAAACAAATTGGTGTTCTAGTAAAAAGGATAGTTCAGACCTTGTGAAGTGAAGTTCTGTGGAAAATAATTTTTTTTGCCACTTCAGTAGAAAGCAGAACGGAATATCTGAATATTAGTATCTTAGCTTCTTCATCATCAGCGGCTTTTTTTAATAGGAGAAAAAGAAAGAGAGAGAAAAAAGTGAAATGTAATGAGAAAGCGTGAAAGAAAGATTAGAAGATACGTTTGTGAAATATATGTTGAGAAAACACAAGACAGCACACCGGACTTCTCGGCTCCACACCTACAAAACAAATAGCAAAACCACAGCAACTAAAATGCAGATCTACTGTATATAAATATAATGACTGTAGCCTTGCTGAAAACCATATCCACATACATATATAAATTTCAACATACACATAAACATACCCATACCTACATATCCAAACACTTTCATACAGCGGGTAAAATAAGTATTGAACACATCACCATTTTTCTCAGTAAATATATTACTAGAGGTGCTAATGACATGAAATTTTCACCAGATGTCGGTAACAACCCAAGTG